GACACCGCGCGTGAAACAAGATCTTCATCCGCGTAAAACGATGTTGTCCGTATGGTGGGACTGGGAAAGGATTATCCATTACGAATTGCTTGAACGGAACCAAACGGTCAACGCTGAACTCTATGTTCAACAAATGGAACGACTCAACACGACTATTCAAGAGAAAAAACCTAATCGGCAGCATGGAGTTCTTTTGCTGCACGACAACGCCCGCCATATCGCCCCCCTCATATCGCCAATATGACCAAGGAAGCCATTCAAACGCATGGCTGAAGAACTCCATGCTGCCGATTAGGTCTTTTCTCTTGAATAACCGTGTTGAGTCGTTCCATTTGTTGAACATAAAGTTCCGCGTTGACCGTTTGGTTCCGTTCAAGCAATTCGTAATGGATAATCTCTTCCAAGTCCCACCATATGCACAACATCGTTTTACGCAGATGAAGATCTTGTTTCACGCGCGGTGTCGCTTGTTTACCGGAGCTAAGCCATTGCTTACACTGCTTCATATTAATGTACAGGCACCATTTTTTGTCGCTAGTAACGATTCGGTAAAGAAATCGTTGCTTGTGCCCACGAGTTGAGCGGTGACGAGCAAGCAAACCAGCGGAGATTTTGGCTCGTTAATTTTTGTTGTTGTCACTTAAAGCATGCAAAACCCATGCTCCACACTTCTGAACCTCGAATGATTTAAAACATTATGCCAAAAACATTTAATGACATGCAAAATATTAAAATTAAAAAAAACGGCGGGAACTTAGTTGCCAACCTAATACAATCTTCCTTGTCTGATTCTGATATTTCTATAGTTTGATTAGCAGATATCAGGTCAAATACAATCTCTCGTTTTTCTAAAATAAATTTATTATACAAGTAACACAATTGTGTTAATATTAGAAATCTCCCGTTTAATACATACATTATTGTCATAGAATACATCAATACATACCAATAATTTGGGTGTCAGACATATTGGATGTAAATAAAACAGGCGCAGTCTTCATAAGATGTGGTGCTATATTGGCAGCATCAAGGTCAGTATCAATTTTTACTTGTGGTGGTTCTCCACCAATTGCCAAATGTGATTGCTTTTTTTTCGTTAAGGCTTCTCTCTGAGCTTGCTTTAAATTAATCCACAACTTTAATTGAGCGACATCCTTCTGTAATAACAAATATTTAATGTAAAAGTTTTCGTAATAATTTTTTATGTTTAAATGTACATTTGTAATTAGATATTATTTTTACTTCTTGAGAAATTAAGGTAGATGTATTATAATTATTGCATATCTCATTCCATGCAATCTTCTTATCTTTCAGTGTTACACTATCGCTCTTTTTATTTTCAATGATATGTTTGTAATCATTAAATATCTGCAGAAATACTTTCCGTTCCATTAACGTGTAATGCTTATTCTTACTTGGAAGGAGGTTTGCTTTTGCCTTGCATGACATTATATATAACATTGTATTTGTCATTTAAAATTTTTTTCGAATAAATAATTACACAATAAAATTATCTTTTAAATAATCTTTTACTTAGTAGTAGTAGTACAGAAGTGGGAGGTACCACCAAGGTCCCTATCGGCCACTAGATCTAGCTGATCCTCTGTGCCTTCCCACTCGTTTTCTTTGCTAGGTCTCGAGATACAGTCTTGAACCTTGTACCAGGTTTATCAGATCTGTAACCCTAGCATTTTCTAAATCCTGGGGGGATACAAACATACTTCACCAGGTTTTGTATCTTTTGCATATAAATGCCGGGCATTGGCATATTATATGTACGTTGTCTTCTTTCTCGTCTCCGCAAAGGCGACATGCCTTTTGCTCCGCAAGCCCGAGACTAAAAAGGTGTGCTCTGAGTAAGGCAGAGTGACCAGTGAGCAGTCCCAACGCCATTCTCAGTTTCTGTTTACTTAGCGCCAGTAGTTCTTTAGCCCTACCTGGTCTGCTGTCTTTCATCAAAGTCCTGGCCTGACGGCAGGTTTTTAACTTCTCCCATCTGGCCAGGTGTTCCCTTTTCAGGCGACCTTTGATGATTTCTTTGCCTACTGCAAAGGGTATTCCCGTCACCTGGCCAATTGGTGCTTCATTAGCTCCCTTCTTGGCCAGCATGTCTGCGGTTTCATTCCCGGGTATTCCCTGATGCCCAGGCACCCATACTAACGTGACTTTGTTAGGTCCGCATAGTCTTTCTAATGCTAGCATGCAATCCCAAACCAATGCTGATTCAGTAGTTGTTTTTGCCAGCGCTTGTATGGCTGCTCTACTATCCGAGCAGATGTTTATCTTCTTTCCCTTCGTATCTTTGTTTAGCAGGTATTCCGTGCACTTTAGGATAGCCAGTATCTCAGTGTAAAAACAGTTGAGTGGCTTCCCACAGGAATACTTTCCCTGTGGTTCTCCTTCGGCCCGTAGAATCCTGCCCCGAAGCAATCATTAATGCCTGACCCATCAGTGAACCATAGGTCCACATTGGGATCCCCGACTCCCTTCAGGTCAGTCCAGTCTTTTCTAGTTGGTATTCGTGTTTTGAAGTGCTTTACCAACTGGTATTTTTTAAGAATTCTATCTTGTTTTGAAGTGAAAGGGTGTTTCTGGAGCAGGTCGAGCCTTGTGTGTCCCAGTCCTGTATTTCTCCATTCTCCCTGACACTTTAGTCTGTATGCTGTGTTCCTTGCTGAGTTTACCACGGCCAGGTCCAGTGGAGGCACACAGAGTGCAATTTCTAGCGCCTCTGTGGGGGTAGTCCTCATAGCCCTTACTGCAGCCCTTAGGTAACTACCTTGTAGGCTTTTCAGAAGGTTCTTTGCTTCCACTTTCTCTGTTCTGGGCCACCAGATCACAGATGCATAAAGTAGTCTCGGTAACAGTACCGCTTTGTACAACCATAGTGCTATGGGAGCTTTGATGCCCCAAGACTTTCCCATGGCTCTTCTACACATCCACATGCATGTGTAGAATTTTTTCCTGCTCTCTGCAAGGTGTACTTTCCAGTTAAGTTTGGTATCTATATGTAGTCCCAAGTATTTAACTGAGGTTGTAAAGGGGATTACCTTTCCCCAGAGCTTAAGAGGCTCAATGGGTTCTGGTTTGTATGTCCTAGTGAAGACCATTATATTGGTCTTTGATGGATTAACCATCAATCCCTTGGCCTCACACCATTTTTGGACGATCTTTAAGGCATCTTTCATGCGGTCCCTTAGGGTATCTAAGAAGGATCCTGTGATCACTATAGCTACGTCATCCGCATAGCCACAGGTCAGGAACCCCTTCTTTTGTAGTTTCACCAAAAGGTCATTGACTACTAGGCACCACAACAGAGGGGACAGAACCCCACCCTGCGGGCACCCCTTGCTTGGTCTACCAGTGATACTAATATTACTTTGCGTGACTGTTAGGTTCCTCCCCGCCAGCATATTCTCCACCCAGTCTACTAGCGGTTCCGGGACCCCATGTGCAATCATTGCTTCCTTAATGGCCTTGTTCGAGGTGCTATCAAACGCCCCTACGATGTCCAAGAAGGTTCCAATAGCGTATCCTTTCGCCTCCAGCTGCGTCTCTATCTTGCCTATCAGGTGGTGTAGGGCAGTTTCCGTAGACCTGCCCTCCCTGTAGGCATACTGAGCACTGGCTAGAGGGTGGTCCGCTAATGGTCCATCCTTGAGAAACCTATCAATTAGCCTCTCCAAGGTCTTTAATAGAAAAGAGGTCAAACTGATGGGTCTATAATCCTTGGCTTTAATGTGTCCATTTCTGCCAGGCTTAGGTATGAAGACCACTCTAGTGGCTCTCCATGCTTGCGGGACATGTCTCAGAGCTATGCTTGCCCTAAAGATTTTAGTCAATGGGCCTACCAGCTCTTCGAGTCCCTCCTGTAAGAGCAGAGGGAGTACGCCGTCCGGTCCCGGGGCCTTATAGGGCTCAAAGGAGC